TGCGTGTTTGCGAGCTGTGCGGCTTAGATTGCCAGGTCTCTGGATTCGATTGGCATTTGTGTTTCCGTTTCGTGTTGTTTGTCTTTCTCGTGTTGCGTTGCCTTGTTTGTGGTTCCTAAAAATTGGACACTTAAATACTGTGCTCGCATGGCCCTTGTTTATTCGCCCCCCTCATGTTTGCCAGCCAACTGACAATTTTATTTGCTGTCAATTGATACAACAAGCTGTTGGCCCTGGACTTGGGTTTGGTTTGGGTTTAGCAAAGTCAAGTCGATTCGCCTCGAGCCATTCGATCAAAATCCTTGGAATGGGGCAGTGCGTGTTTCCCCCATCCTCATCATCATCATCCGTCGTTAAAAGACCCAATGAACGGGAGTAGTTAGCCATTAATTGCTACAATTGGCCAACGATTTAATTTGCAATAAAATTATTACATTGAAATATGCATAAATTGTATCGGCGAAAGGCAATTATTTATTTATATTCAACATATGCAAATAAACAGATATTTTCGTCTGTAAATTCGTTTGGCAAATAAGCGTCGACAGCCAAACAAAAGCAAAACAGACCATGGGCCACAACGACAACATCGAACATAATAGTATGCCATGGCAAAAGCAATTTATTCTCCGCATAAAACAACTTTGAAACATCTGCATATGTGTTGGTTCTTGGACTCTATTAATTGTTTTGATGCTGAATCTAATCCCAAGCCTTTCCCGATATATGAATGTATGTAACCTGTATGTAATGTCAACCCATCTCCTGACATTTGCACCACTTTAAGGTACTAAGTACTGCCTTTGAGTACATCTATGAGTTTCAGATTCATAGGTTCCTTAAATCCTTTTCTCATACATAAGCGAAGCAATAGTTCTCACCTGACCGACTAACAAATGGCATAGATACTAAAAGATATATATTTAGCATTAATATTGGTAGTATTAAAAACCATATAAACACCTCTTCCACTACTTATTTCATTAAAGTAACATACAGTTTAAGCTAGACAAATATTTATTTTGACCCACGTCTTGAATAGACAATTGTGTGTAGGGCATTTTCAGATTCGATTTGTTCTTCGCCTTGCCAAAAGTGGCAAATGTTTATGGTTAACGATAAACAGTCAGCCGTAAAGAGTGAATAGGATGTGGGAGCACGCACTGGGCAAATCCTTGAACGTATAATTTACAAAGTAAATTTTAATTAAAAATCCTCATGCAATCCTCAGCTATTTTAATTGAAGCTAAATGACGTCACAGCATATTTTTCGACTGTCGGTTATCCAAGGGATGGATAGCCGCCCAGGAGAATGGGGAGCCGGTAATTAAGCGTGCCAGCAAACTTGACTCGGAATCGGAGATAACGCGCCCAAGCCACGCCAAAGAGTTCATAAAAAGAAACGCGTCGATGTGGGACGAGGATAAGGATGAGGATAAAGATGAGGATGAAGGAGCATTGTTGGTGGAGGAGCAGGCTGGCACTGGCGAGGAAGGGTTTGCTGAGTGCCGTCCTCACTCAAGCTGTGGCAGTCAAGAGGCCAAAGGAGGGACAGAGGCAGGCGGACGAAACAACTTGGCACGCTTTGTGCGAATTCTTCAGAAACAAATTAAACGCGTTTTAAGACTTGACGGCTACCCGACAGCCACGTCATTACGCCCCCCCATCATTCCACTCCATCGCGTCTCAGCTCAGCTCATCTCATCTCATAAATGAGTCAAGTTGTCATCGGCGAATGAGATCCCTTCATTGAAACGCGATGGTAATGAAGGAGTTAATTATGGAGACAAAGCGACTGCTGTCCAGGAGTTTGTAACTCATCCGTTGACCTGCTGGCCATCCCATTCCCCGATGATGCTATTTTGTAACTGCGAAATTTGCCATAACATTGGACACAATTATGTGTTATCTAGCTTACCCCATAAGCATTGCTTATGTCCCTTATCAGTTGCCCAGTTGCCCAGTGGACGAACCAAAGTCTCCCCCCAGTTCGGGGGCCAAAATTCAGTGGAGCGTGCAGTTTGTGTCCTGCGTCCGATAAGATCAGTGAGCTACAAGAAACTTCTGACCGACGCGTCGGTTAATTTTAACGTTTGCCAGGCAAATTATTTGCCATTTGCCATGCGAGGGGCCAGGGCAAAAATTATAGATATATAAATATATATTATGGCAGTGCGTAAGCTGATTAGCAAGGCGAACTAGTGGGTTTCCCACACTAAATGACCAACAGTTTTATGTTTTCAATTAAGTGATAAGGCAACTGTGGCAGAACCGAAACGCAGACACAATCCGCGTGGCAAGTCAACCGCAGGGCATTGCGAATTATTATCGGGACTGCGGCAAACAAAGTGCTCCATTCTATTAGTCAATGCGATTCTTTCTTTTTTTTTTTTTCTTGCTCCATTCTATTAGTCAATGCGACTCTTTCGTTTTTTTTGTTCACCGCAATGGGGCGTATACTTGATGCAGCTGCTGTTGTCCTTCTCCCTGGGTTGGGGTATGGGATACCCTATAGTTGGTTGACTGTTGCTTGACTTGACCCATGGAACACAACGCCTGTCGACTGTTTATGGGACTGGCGGCTGCTTTGTTTAAACTTGTGTGCACGAAACTTTAAAAAAACAACAATAGCAACGGGGACGAGGATAAGGAAGGGTGGCAGGAATGCCAAAATGCCATCATTACCAAGCGACAAAAGTTTGTCCTTTTGGTGGTGCTACTTCTCCTGGCCTGATCCTTTCGGGCTGTGCCAGGAACAGCCGCAGTTTCGCCTGGCCTGGCCCATCGCCATCCCATCCATGTAAAGTGCTTCTTGACTCGGCCGTGTAGGCAAATGAAGTGAACGGTTTCTGCGTCTGCCACTGCCACTGCCACAGCTAAAAAATAAAATACGTAATAAAGGGGAAAAGAAAACAAACGCTCTTACTGAGCACTGAAAACTGAGAACAACAAACAAAAGGCGGGCAGGGCAGGGCACCCGCACACCGACAGAACCAGGACCAGGCCAAAACGAGGACCAGGCCCAGGCCCAGGAAACTTTTCACCCACCGAAAGCCACCGACTACGGCGAAGACTGTGCCGCTGACAATAGAAATGCGTTCGGAAAAGTTTATTTTATTTTGTTTTATACTATTTCTGTGTGCTATTTTTGGGGCGACGCACGAGTTTTTCATTTGATTTCCGCTTGCCACACTTTTTGTGACCTCTCCGCCCCTCCCCCAAGTCACAAACAGAAACAGAGCCAGAACCAGGACCAGTTCTGGTTCAGATTCAGGATGGGAACGAGGAAGCTGAGAAGGACGAGGAGGAGGACCAGGAACTGGGACCGGCTCGGTCATCGGGCTAAAGAGCGTATGTTTGTTCACAAAAGGATTAAGTTGGGTCTGCACACAACACCAAACTGAAAGACCACCCCCCACCGTCCCATTTGCAGCCTCCTCCCCGCTGGGAGAAGTTCGAGCTGAATGGCGAAATGGCTTCATTTGCGCCCGTAGTAATGATATGGTGGTGATATGGTAAACCCACTTTTTGTCGCGCCGGCAGGGCGTTTAAACACATATTTATGCTGCTATTTTACACTGTGCACGATTTTAGATCACAATAAAATAAGTATGTAATAAAATACGAGGTGCATTTTTTGAATACCATGCTCTTAAATACATATGGATACCATTTGTGCATAGAAAAAATCATTCCATGTTAACTGAGAAAGATATGAAGTTTACCTATTAAACTTAACGTTCATGAATTCATCCTTAGGACGAATGACAAAATTGTATGAAGTTTTATAGTTGCTAACATTAAAATATAGCGTTTTATTGCAGATAATAAATGTTGATATATAAAGGAATACTACTCACTTTTATTGGCATTAGATTTTTGAAGTTGTACCTTGTCGGTTGGTTGATAGCAGAAAGATCATTCGGAATTTCTTTGAGCCAGGAAGCCCTTAAGCGAGCGAGGTTAAAATTTCAAGGATCCTATTATCTTCAAATGCTGGCGGCACAACATGGGGCTCTTCTGACATCCATACAAAGGAACTTAATCGTAGGACTGGCACAATTAGGTGATCTTAACCCTTCACTCAAATCCATCGCAGTGGCTGATTAATATTCTAGGGTTCTATTTCAAAGAGGCCTTGTCGGTGACGTCATCAGAGTCGGCCATTTTGTGTCACAAATTTTCATTTCTCTTTTCAATATGTACATACATATGTACCCATCGCAGAATGTTCCAGGGTTGTATTTCAAAAAGGCCTTGTCGGTGACGTCATCAAAGTAGGCCATTTTGTGTCACAAATTTAATTACATACATTCATATGTATTTATGTAGTAAGCAAAAAATAAGAGCAAAGTGGAAGATTCCGATTTCATCAATTGTAATTTGTATGTGAACATATTAATACATGTATATAAGTAGATATGTACATAAGTATTTACCGTTGATCGAGTCAGGGCCTCAGATCTTTGAGCCAGGAGAAGTGGCCTTCTATTCGAATTTCTCCATGTCGCTGGTCTTTTATTTGTTGGTCTACTAACGATCCATTCAAAGCGTAGTAGTCTTCACTTGCTTTCCATTATTCTTTTTATCTTAATCAGCATAAATCGGGCTTTATTTTTAGCTTTGTCACTTAATGATGTTCGATTGGCAAAGGGACGCTTAAAACTATCGATTGTGTGTGTGTGTGTGTGAGTTTGTGTGACAGCGTTGCCACCTCTCATTTATTAACTCATCAAAAAATATAGCTGAAAAAAAGCTAAGATATATATAAATTGAACATTTGGCTATATGTAAATGCAGATCCCGCTATAAAAATTTGGCTTAAACCATAAATAGGTACACAATTAAATTTGTATGTTTAGCTAGGAGATGTTTCGCAATTTACTATATCTGTGCTACTTAATAGCTTATTAAAAATGTTTTAGCTTTTTTAGCTATATATTGTTAGAAAGCGAAAGGTGGCAGCGCCGCCATAAAGAATCGATACTTTTTGACGTCCTTTTGCCAATCGAACTTCATTAAGTGAAAAGCATGAAAGAAATGCCGATTTAGGCTGAAGAAATTAAAAAGGAAAGTGGAGAGCAGCACACAATTACTCAGTTTTGAATGGTTCTATAGTACGCCAACAAATAAAAGCCCAGCGACATCGAAATTCCATAGTTCACGCCGTTCTTTTTGGCTTGGAGATCTGAGACCCGGAGTCTGAACCGTGGAAGTCAATTTTGTCTATATACTGACAAGCCAGGGTAAATATGTATTAAAAGTTATGGGATCCTTCCTAATTTTGTTTTAACTTATATATCTACGTATGTAAATTGTTGATGGCACAAAATGGCCCATTTTTGTGACGGCTCCCTATAAATTTGCCCAGTCATCGCGATAGGTTTGAGCGAAAGTGTCACAATCAGCTAAACGCGCGAGTCCTACAATTAATTTCATGTAAAAGTAAAGCTCCAGGTTTTACCTCCAGCCGGCATTGCATACATGACAAGTGAACCGAAGTGAAGTCTGGAGTTGGAATTTCTCTCGGATTTGTGCTCATTGACTTCGAGAAGTTGGTTCCCGTATATTATCGATGCAATTTTAATCCCTATGATCTTACTGACGCAAAGCTAAGCAATCCAACATCAGCAATCATGTGAGTTATCTATTATAAAAGCATGTATATTCTTAACCTTTGTAAAATCTGCATTGGGAACTATAGGGAAATGTTTATTAGTTTCCCAAAATGATGTCACCATAATATACCCTTGTAGAGAATAAGTTTGATCATGTCTTTGTATGTCTGTAAGGGAAACCTTTCTGACCCTGTATATTCTTGATTATCATCACTAAGCAAGTCTATTAGCAGTGTTTTTCTGTTTTTTATACAGCCTTTATTTCGAAGGAAGCTAATAACTTGAAATGTTACAAATAGTATATTTTTGATGCCCTGATAATTGCATAAATTCTTGGCAAACGGAAGCTATATGCTACAAATGTCGGTCGGAAAATGCGAAATAAAATATTTCGTTGCTTTTCCAGATGTTTTCACATCTGTCGAAGTTTTTTCGGGTGCACTCGAGACGAATATAAAATCTATTTGACAGGCTAAGTTTTTGGCGTACATTTTGTGTACCTCTGTTTGCTTTTCCACCATCACCGCCAGTCTAGTTTTAGCAGTCACATTTGATTCCGTTCGGTTAAGTTGTGAACGTTTCAAGTTACCCAAATTCAATTGGGCTAACTTTTTGCGGTCTAGGGCCTCTGACATTCACGCAAATGCTCATTCTCGACCATTTTGCCAAATTCGATTAGATGAAAGTGTGCGTTCAATTCAATTAAAGGCAGCCGATAAACGAGTGCGATTTGCTTGGTTAATGCCTAAGCCATAAATCTCCATTCTGTGGCGGCAATTAAAATTTATCTTTAATTGGCACGTGTATCCAGTTGGCCCCTGAACAGTGCACCAAATCCAGATCAACCAGCCAACTGCCAACTGGCTTCTTGAACTTTGCCCAGCCTTATCGGCATTACGGTGCTCGGATCCTGCTGGGTTGGGATTGGGACTCGGGACTCTGGATGGTAACTGGTGTCCGGATCGCACCAGGCGCTGGGCACACCTGCCGCTTAACTCCTGAAAGGAACTTACGATTACAACCCTTCACACACACACGCATGGGCGTACCCGATGGGGCTGCAAAAAGGAGCAAATTGTAATTCGGATTTAATTGCCTGTTAACACGCACCCGCGCATAGCGGGCAAGACCGGTAACAGCTCGTAAAAAAAGGCGCGAAGAGGAGAAAAGAGACAGGAGGCCAGTCAGGACTACAGCAAGCCGAACACAGGATACTCTCTTTCCTTGGGATCTTGGTTATTTAAAGATAAAGACTGATGAAATATTTATCAATATACAACATGCACATGTATATGATATTGAGCAGCACAAGTTTCGATTTTTTTCTTCTCTGTCTTCCTCACAGTCATTTTATTCGACATCTAGCTTTCTTTCAGTATCAGATTTACATTATTCAATGGTAATAATAATACGTTTATGTAGATATCAACAAAACCTGTGAGTTAACATTCATACACGTAACTTAGTTAAGCCGCAATAAAACTAGCCACAAAATATTTATTTAGGAAATCGAATTCAAACGCTTCCTGTCAAAGTGAATGTTACTTCCATGCGGAAAGTGCATGACTTTAGGGATTGTAAATGAGTTAGCACAAGGGGAAACAGTTAGGCATAAAGTGAACAGCTCGTAATTTACTTAGTTTGGCACTGGGTTTGGTTTTTGGAACAGCTTAACACTCAGCGCTCAGCTTGACTTCTTCAGCGATTTTTTCGTTTTTTTTTCTGCCAGAATCAACCGGACGGAGTTGCAGCTAATCATTTTTTCCAAACTTTCGGCGATAAGCCGGCCGCGAATATCCGCATAATTTGTATATGTACAATGTACATTGTGCATACTACATACACAGGACGGTCTGGGGCAAATGCCTTCCAAATGCTTTGAATAACTATTAAATTTCCTCAAACCAAGGCATGCCCACAACGCAATAAGGATAAAACGAACCACATCAACAACATCAAGGTCCCGCCGGATATACAGCCGGTTAGCAGGGCTCGAGCCGGAACGAAAGAAGTGCTGAACTGTGCATAAAGCGCAGATAGACACGGAGATATGTGTGGCAACTGACATTCATTACGGCATAAATTCGTTTAGTTGCTCGGACTTGGATCGGGACAGGACCCGTTCCTGGCACTGAGATGCGAGAGATAAGACCCAAATGCCGATGCCGATGTCGACAGCAACTATTTCTTGGTTCACCCAACTCCATTGGCACCAGTGCTGCACGCACTGTGCAGGGCCATAAACTTAGGGTTCCAAGGGATGCAGGTTGCAACCAAGTACGTCTACGTCTGTTTGCATGCAATTAACTTAACCATCCATCCTGTGACGTGGCAAACTGTGCACGGATGTGTGTAATTTAATAAGTTAATAAATGGATGAGGTTGCAGCCAGTTTCCAGAAATATGACTTTTTCAAGTTGCTCTTCAAAGATGTGCCATTTGGGATTTGGAAGGCGGTATCCCCCCTGACAGAAGGCCATCAACGTGGTTAACCCCAGATCAATCTGTCGGATTGATGACTGACCCACAACGAGGTGTCTCTGCTAGCTTGGCCACTTGGGCAGCTACACAAATCACTATCTGGGCGGGTCAGCAGTTGCCCAGCAGGCTGATTGAATGAGTGAGTTGCCTCGGTTACCTTGGGCTATGACATCGAAGTCAGTCAGTCAGTCGGGCTCAAAAGGTGGCCAAAAGCCAAATCAGACCTTGCAAATGGGGTGGTTCTGGTGGGTGATTCGGAGAACACTCAGCTGGCTGTGCCACGTACGTCCTTAACGATGAAAACATTACACAGCTTTGCCTAATTGCCCACTTAAACGTCAGTTAAGGCATGCACCTAAAGATCCGTACACCCAAACATCCATATATACATACCATATACCTCCTCGCACCATACACCCGGCCAAATGCCATGAAAACGTGCACACACGCACACTTGGCTGTCAACAGCGTTGCAAGAACAACAATGACTTGAGCGTTTTATAAACAAATGAAACAATTAATTTGATTCCACTCTCCAGCCAAATCCTATTAACTGCAAGGTAAAAGAAATGCTTTCTCCCAAACCCACCTCCCCACGGCACTTAAGTGTATGGGCGAGGACGTACGTACATACATGCTACACTTTCATGCATACTTAATTTGTCAGCTTGGCTCGGGTTTACACCCATTTTAGATATCGTTAACTAACTAACTGTTGCTGCGTTCGTCCTTCGAAAAGTTGTCCTTGGGGGAGGAGGGTGGGTGGTTGAACGGATGGGACTAGTCGGCGGCGGCAGTGGCCTGCTGAATTTATGGCCGCTCACATATGGCGCCGCAAGGTGTTTTCATTTAAATTTTAGGGCGGCTTAAGACAGGTCGAGTTGAGTTATGCATTAAAATTTAAACTATGCATGTGCTCAGGGCTAAAAACGCGCAAGGGGTGGCAAATGGGTTGCCCAAATGGAGGACTCGCGCGAAAGTTACTTTCTAGCTGACAGTTTCGAGAGAGCAAGGATGTGTGTGCTTGTTAGTGTGGTAATTAGAAAATTTTATGTGATTACATGGCCATGTGTGAGAAGCGTACCACGGGGCGGATGGTTGATGGTTGACAAAAAGAGCGACTACCGCTGTCGTGGTAGTCGAGCGTGCCAATGAGGAGGGAAAAGTACAAAAGCGCCTATTATAATATTAATAGAATACTAAATATATCGCCAAGTGTGCCATTCTACCCTTCAGTAGCTACAGTAAGCCTTTGTCTAGATCGGGATAGAATGGGAATATGGAATATGGGATATGGCAAATGGGAACAGTGAGCAGTGACTGAACTTGAACCCTTATTCTATCCTACCCTATCCTATCATATTCTCATCCAGTGCAAGTTTTCAGAAGGGTCTGCTTGGCCCCAATGGACTTGCATTGAGGACACAGGCTCATGTCCGTGGAGTTGCAGCTCCAGAAGCTTTCAAATTGAATTGACAAGCCCGCGCGTCAAAACTTCAAAGCTCCTGCCGGCGTTTGGCAAGCTCGTTTTCGGCTCAAAGCAGCGGTCCTTGGCTCAGAGAATAACTCAATTTAGGCGCCCGAGGATTCGTCGTGTGCCGTCGTAGGTTTCGTCGGAAACTCCCACAACGACGACGACAACGATGATAAGGACGAAGCCAAGACCACGACCACGGGTACGACCACATCACTTGTGCCGGCTGTGCTGGGCGTGCAGGGCCCATGTCTAGCTAGTTGGAGTCCTGTCATCGTCACTCTGCCATCCTCGGCGGCGGAGTCCTTCGCTTAGACGCACCCACAAAGCACTTGAAACACTCTCCTCTTCTCTGCGATTTCATCTAAGTGGTGCTAGAAGGCGTTAACCAACGAGCACTCGGCTTGAGTTCTCGTTTGAGCGCTTTGCTGGAAAAAGTGCGCACAATCCCAGCCGTCGAATTAAAAATCCGTATGTCCAACCAATTGCAGGGTCAGGAGTTGTTGTTTCACTTTTCCCGCCTTACTATACGTTCTTGGATTTATTTTCCAATAGATTTAGTTAGATTGAGTTGTTGATAGGTTTCTTGTTTACGCATGTATTTCTCTTTTTAAGTATTTTGCTGTATTACAATATATGTGATATAAAGATTTCGTATTTTTCCTCCGTATTTCCTATATAAACATTATGTTTCCTAATCGTGCTAAAAAAAAAATCAACAACAAATTAAACATACTGTCCCTTTAAAAGCATTTGCATTAGGTGTACATACATACAGATACAGATACATATACATTTATTTTTTTATTTATATATTTATCTATATATCAAGTGCTTTCACACTTGATAAATTCAACGGCAATTTCATATTCAACTCTATTCATATTTATATCCATAGCCATGTTCAAACTCCATAACCCATATTTATTTTCGTATTCATATTTATACTCATATTCGTATTGGTTTTAATATTTGTATCTGTGATATTACACATTTAGGTATAGGTATAAATAGCTCTTGCGATTCATTGGATGATATTTCATTGTCTTCGTATTGTGTTTAATG